ATAAAGCAAATTAAATTTAACAAAACAGAAATCTAAAAAAAAAAAATTAAACAAAAGAAGATGGAGGGCTGGATATATGGCATGGAATGTAGGACTTAGAAGCAATTCTGCCTGGATATTAAGCAAGTACATGTTAACAGCAAAATTACATTTTTTTATTTATTTATTTTTTTTATTTCCCATTATGAGTACGATTTCCCACAGATAAGCACCAACTACAGCAATGTCTATTCTAAAACAATATAAGAATCTTTCATCATTTATCATTATTTTTTTCAAGTACAAAGTTAAAATGCCTTTGTTAATATCTTTATATGAGAGAGTAAAATAATAGTGCTTCTCCAATACTACAAGAAACAATCGAGAAAAAAAAAAACAGTCATTATCAAGACAAGTTTATTTATTTTCCAAATAATATATTTTTCTCAATTAGATAAAATGTTTAGCACCTTATGAAACACCTACAATCCCTCTCTTAGTACTTAAAACAAGAATTAAAAAGCAAATCGAAACACACTTTTGTATGTAGGGCTGTGCAGTAAAGATGGGACTGTTAAAATCACTTAGCGAACTCATTCTTTAGTTTGATCCTCCGTTCGACACATATAAATATGAATTACAAAAGACACCCTGCTGCTTTATAGCTTATGTCAATTAGCTTGTTGCCATTTTGTCAATTACCCCCCTCTTGCGATTTGAGTGCTGTTTTGATTCTATGATATATATTAGCAAAGAATTATATTTGTACATCTCACAGGTCATTAAAAAAAAGCAACAGACAATTTCTATGTACAAAATGTACAAAAAGAAACAAATCTGGGCGTCGATAAAATTGGGAACATAATAAAAGCAACTTTGCTAAACGTGACAAATGTTAAGGTATGTAAGCAGTGCAATGCCTTAAATAAAATAAAAAGCGCCTAACAAGGATTTCATTAGAGCCCGACCGTTTCTAACCAGATTCACAAATTTAGCCTATATAGCTTGCGTGATAACTAAATTATTGACATGGTCAACATTCACCATTGGCAAACATAATAATGTTTTCAGATCTACGCTAGGGACCAGACGCATTTAACCCCATCCGACTACTTTTCCTACAGGGATACTTAACACACTCACTTTGGGATTATACAGCGGTAAGAACCGTGAGCAGACACTATACTGTATCTCATGTAGCACATGGAAACATGAGAGGGGTGCTATTGGAATTCGGCCCCTTCACCACCGGCACGACAGACGGATTTATTCTATCCTAGCTCATTCGTTCACATCTATTGGCACAGCCCTACTGTACACAACAAAGTATTACCTTATATAACGGCAAGAGTTTCACATCATTAAACATAACTGAAAAAAAAAGAACAATTCACAAGAATCAAGGAGAAAGATTAAAAAAAATATCAAAGAAATAAAGAAGTATACATATACAAAAGTGCTCGATATTGTTGGTAACACAGCACAAAAAAATTGCTATTAAAAGGTAGAAGAACATTGTGAAGCCGCACCTTTATAGTTTTGCACCTGACTGAGAATAGCCTGCGGACGCCGCAGTTGAAGGCTGATTCACCTGGCCGACAAAATGACAAAACGACCCGACGCCATCCTTCCTGCGGCCGCCACGCGCGCTAAGAGTTGTACAGTAATGATTCTGGCCTGTGTGACACTAGAAAAAAAGTAGCTCACCACAGCCTTTGATTTCAAGGTATGGATGACAAAAACATCACCGCCCATGTGGCTGGTTTCATGCGTTCGGATTGCAGGCATACTGAAGGAAGCAGGCGTGTGTTTTTTCTTTTTTTGAAAAGAGCACCAGAGAATATTGTACAAAAAGGCTGTAAAAGATATAAAATGAGATGTGGCAGACCTGGCTTGACCTGTCGGGGTTTTTTTTTTCTTCAAGGTTTCAGTCGTTTGTTTTACCTGGCGATGGTACAAAACGTGACCCCATGATCTTGTTTCGAGTAGTAGCACCACATGAGTTGCAATGTTTTTCACCACCTTGAAGCACCATATTGTCACCTATTACAGTAGTACCTTTATTACCTTCAGTTGTGTATAGAAACTGTAAACAAAGAGGTATTTGTGATCTGGTGTTTTGGATTGGTTAAGACAGAGCTCCCCTGACACTAAGAGAAAACTTTTTTTTCAAGGCTCAGACGCGCACCGCGAGAATTAGATCGATCCGCGACCCGACAGTCGAAAAATTCAGGAGGCGAAATGTTTGGGCGAACTAAATGCGATTTCCGTCTCAACGAACTTCTCGTTTCTGCCTCGAATTGTTACATCGTCTCTCAGTGCCTTAAAAGGAGGCCGTGTCTCAAGTATAGCTTGCACACATAAATCAAATACTGGATAACACTGCTAAAAAGTCAAATGAATAATACAAAAAATTAAATAGAATTAAAAAAAAGAGTCAATTATTCCAAACCAGAAGAATAAAACCAAAACATAAAATAACTTTTTTTTTTTCTGATGTCGAACTTGCAAATAACATACGAGAGCTTGCTTTCGAAGCTCTTGGTATTACATCGGTTTAGATTTTTCTCATCTGTACTGGATTTGAGTTCAGATGCAGGCGAAGTACTCTTTGAGTGGTGCAAACAAGTGACGGATGACCGGGACGCTCCACGACCTTCCCAGCAGCCTCTGCCTGGCCAGACGACTCATGTTCGACACGTCTGTGTAATGGACAGGGAAGCCGAACACCCTGATAAGAAGTGAAAAGGGCAGAAAGTTCGTTTAAATGTATTCACAAGTGCAACACACTGGTGATGTGAATAGACAGATGATGAATACTCTAGAACAGTTTATTGCAATTTTTGTTTTAAAGATAGAGAATATACAGGACATTAAATTGATCAAATATGATATAAATTTTTTTTTGCAAAAAATCCATTTCAAATAAATGCTGTTCTTTTACACAAAAAACACTGTATAATATTATAATATAAGGAATGGTTTTAGCATATTAGAATAGATCAGGTGACAAAATGCTGAAAATTCAGCTTTGCCATCACAGCAATAAATTATATTTTAAAGTATATTCAAATAGGAAACAGTTACTTTAAATTGTAATAATATTACAGTTTTAAACGTTGCTGGTTATGTGTGGCTTTAAAAGAAAATTCTTTCTGTTAGAAACATTTGGAAAAGTCAATGATTTTTAGCATCATTGGGATATTATTATATTCTTTATTAATATTTGAATTAGTTTTTATTTTTATATTTTGTTTTCATTTTCATTTTCATTAAAGATTGGGTAATTTTGTTGTGTGTTTTTGTCATTTTTATTACTTTTTTTTTTTTTTGTAACAAAAAAAAAAGTTTTTGTTTTGTTTTCAGTTTTAGTTTGTTATTTTAGTACATTAAGTTCAACTAAATGAAGCAACAATGTGTTGACTTTCTTTTCTGTCTTAACTGTCCACTTGTGTTTGAATCTCCAAAAAGGATTTTAAATCAAGCCAGGTTAAAATATACCAAAACAGGAAGAAACTGTGTTTGTCAAGCCATTTCATGGTGTATATCTATGTTTATATCAATGTATAGATTACATAAGACATGTCTCATTGTATTGATATGTAGTCATATTCTGTTCTACTGAGTAGGATATGGTTTCACTGAGCTAGTAGACGACAGATGATTCAATCAATATAAGATAAAACTCACTGTTCACTGAAGCGGGCCCTCGAGATCTCTCTGTTGAACAAATGTCACATTTACATTTACATTTGGACTTACAGCTTAGAACTTTTTTAAGGCATTTCGTCATACCTCTCCATCTCAGTGCACCACAGGATGTCCTCTTTTTCATTCATGAAGACAGGGAAGTGCTGGTCTTTGCCCTGCTTTATGGAATTTGACCGAGTGGTGATGGTCCGTACTTTATCAAACTAAAATTTGCGAATATAAAAAATGCGAAAAGAAACTGATTTAAACGGCTTTATCGAGAAATCAATTGAGGGTTGGTCTAAGAAGTACCTTAGCTGTCCTGCCATGCTCCAAACAGTCTTGAAGGTCCAGTTTATCAGTGCACATGGCGGTCAACGGTCTGAGAGGAAAAGGAAATAGAGAGGTAAAATGATAAAGTGAGAGATTAAATAATGAAATGAATGAAGAGTCCATGTCCAACTAACCTGTTCATGCCAGGCAGGTTACCCCAAAAGTAGCGAGCTCTGTGGGCAGCAGACACCTCCTTGGCATCGATCATCACTGGGTTGCACTATGATACATAAACAAATAAATGTCAAAATAAATAAATTATCGCATTCAAAATGATTGTTTTTGTTTACATAATATATGTGTGTGTACTGTGTCTATTTATTATGTATATATTAATACACACTCATACAGTATACATTTTGAAAATATTTACACATGTATTTACATGTATATATTTATATAATAAATAAATATATTTAATATACAAATATAACATATTTTTCTTAAATATATACATGCATGTGTGCGTATTTCTATATACATAATAAATATAGACAGTACACACTAGGGCTGTCAAAAACAAAATTTGAATTTCGAATCTTCGTCGAATTTTAAATAAAAATCCACATTTGAATGCAAAAACGCTACGTTTTTTTCCCCATCCCACTGCAACTCGTGTTTTTAAATGAAAAATGTACTCTGTGTGATTGGCTTTCGGCCCTTTGTATTAAACTATGCATACATACATGATGCTGTTTTGTTTATATTTGTTTAAGCAACTTCATTAATTATAATTGGTTTATAAACATTATTTTAAACATTATGCACTTTTTTTCCACAGATAGTCATGTTATCTTATGCTTTGAAGAAACGTGCATTAGTAATATTTTGCTCGATGCGCCCTCTTGTGGCCTCAGGAGAGAAGCCAAAAGCTTTTCTTCACCCTAACTGAAATAATGCATTTTAAATTTGAATATAATTCGAATTTTGATCATATTTATGTACAAAATTCGAATTTAGTTTTTCAGCCATTTTGACAGCCCTAGTAAACACACATATTATGTAAACAAAAACTTTTACTTTGGATGCGATTAATCGTGATTAATCGTTTGACAGCACTAAAATAAATAGATACTAAAATATATTCAAAACCTTAGTAATATCGACTCTAGCACGCATATAATGGGTTCATTAGTTTCTACACAGCAGGTCATTTTACCACTAGGTGGTAGCAAAACCTACTGGTTTATATTAAAGCCCCACTGACAGTATAAGACAAATTCAGCACAGCTTAATCATCACGTTCAAACACCTCTAAAAAGCGAGAGATGTCCCTCTTGTCGCTGACACCCATGGCCACCACATTCTCAAAGAGCCAGAAGAATGGCCTGTTATCTCGCTCTTTAGGTCGGGCCTCATGTAACAGCCGGTAAAACTCGAAGAAGAGTCGACCCGTGCCCTCTGAAAGACAAAAAGCAAGATTGAAAACTCAATATGACAATTATCATAAAAATGTACAAATATATGAGCTGTGTTATAAATACAACTGAGATATACAGTACACTACCATTCAAAAGATTGTGGGCGGTGATATTTTTGAAAAAAGTCTCACCAAAGGATGCATTTATTTGATAATACTGTAAAATGTAATTACTTAAAGTATTATTATTATTTAAAGGAACTGTTTTCTATTTTAACATACTTTAAAATGTAATTTATTCCTGTAATGGCAAAACTGAATTTTCAGCAGACATTACTTCAGTGTCACATTCTAATACGCTGATTTGGTGCTCAAGAAACATTTCTTAATCTTATTATTATCAATGTTGAAATCAGTTGTGATGCTTAATATTTTTGTGGAAACCATGATACATTTTTCCAGATGTTCCAGATTTTCCAAACACAAAATGTTTAAAAGAACAGCATTTTTGAATAAGAAATATTTTGTAGTCTTATGGACCCCAATCTTTTAAATGGTATTTGAACGTGTAAACACTAATACTAAAGACTAAGACTAGAACACACAGCTGAATAAACTCCTACCGTAGAGACCTTTTCTTGCAGGATTCACTATTGACAAGTCATTGCACGGACTTCCACCGATGACAAGATCGAAAGGACCCCATTCCTGAATCTGTGGATGACACAGAAGAACAAATTAGACAAAGGAAAAAAAAAACAATAAATAGATTGATCAATATGAAATATTGTGGACGTAATCAAGCAGGAACCTATATGGCACAAAGACAAAAAAAATACCATTCATTCAAATGGTTACGCTGACAGCTTTACCCTGAAGATTTATGATACCACTACTCTCAAAAGTTATTGTTGATGGTCAAAAGTTATGAAGATTGTAGTTTTTGTGCAGTATATAAGAGCTGTACTTGAAGAAATTGCCAAGTTACCAAGATGGCCACCAAATGTAGACTTGATTTCAAATAACTTCAACAGTAAACTGAGGTGAAGGATGATACTCACGTTTTTATGGGTGACGTTTCTCACATCACCCACGTACATGATGCGTCCCTGGTGCCGAACGATGCCCACAGTGATGGAGTCCTCGCACACTTCTGAGGCCACGTAACGCTCCACCTGGATACCCAGCTCCTTCAGAACCAGCAGCCCTGGCATAATCACAAACACCATGACAATCTACAACTAAGTTGTTTATTTTATTTTTGGTAATTGGACCGTTTTATTGAAGTACGCAAGTACTAGTGATTAGTCACATGGCATTTACAGCCTTGGCTCAAAACAACCCGCTGCAGAACCGAGCACCATTAACAAAGATGGCGGATTTCAAATCACATTTTTCGAGGTGGTCGTATGCCAGCCAAAAAAAAAAAAAAACGGGAATGCTAACAGATACTTTTCTTCAATTATGATAGATGTCCTTGCTTCAAACACACCAACGATGCCCAAAAATCCTGTTGAAATTGGAAGTTTGCATTCCTGAATTAAGATTTCCTGATAATTTACTCATCCCCATGTCATCGAAGATGTTGAAGTCTTTCTTTCTTCAGTCAAAAAGCAATGAAAGTTTTTAAGGAAAACATTCCAGGATTTTCTCCATATAGTGGACTTCAGTGGGAGCTAGTGGGTTGAAGGTCCACGCTTCAAAGGGCTCTACACGATCCTAGCCAAGGAATAAGGTTCTTATATAGCGAAATGATTGGTCATTTTCTAAAAAGAAACACAAATTTATATACTTTTTAACCACAAATGCTCATCTTGCACTAGCTCTGCGATGCGCGTCTACGGCTTCACACATGACGTAGTCGAGTTGGAAAAGTCACATGTCGTTAGTTCTTCGTCTGTGTACTCTGGTTCAAAAAGGTAGGGTAGGGCGAAAAAATCCCAATCTCATTTTCTCCTCCAACTTCAAATATTTTGCACTTTGCACATTCGCTTTGTAAACACTGGGTCGGTACTTATGCTTATGACAAGTGTGACCTTTCCACCGTGATTATGAAATGCAAAAAGTAGAGCTAGTGCTAGATGAGCATTTGTGGTTAAAAAGTATAGAATTTGAATTTTTTTAGAAAATGACCAATCGTTACGCTAGATAAGACCCTCATTCCTTGGCTGGGATCATGTAGAGACCTTTAAAACTGCATTTTGGACCTTCAACCCCTTGATGCCCATTGAAGCCCACTATATGGAGAAAAATCCTGGAATGTTTTCCTCAAAAACCTTAATTTCTTTTCGACTGAAGAAAGGAAGACGTGAACATCATGGATGACATAGGGATGAGTAAATTACCAGGCATCTTTCAATCAAGTATCTTTTTATTGGTAAACACGACAAATCTGAGTGAACAACTTGTGAAATCTGTGTAAAGAAATTTCACCCTCGTGCAAAATTCCTGATTGTGTAAATTCCTGTTGAAACGACTGGATTTCATGTGACTGCAACTTAGCAGCCAGTTTCTTGATGGATTTAAAAGTACATTACTCCTCCAACTTCATATATTTTGCACTTTGCACATTCGCTTTGTAAACACTGGGTCGGTACTTATGCTTATGACAAGTGTGACCTTTCCACCGTGATTATGAAATGCAAAAAGTAGAGCTAGTGCTAGATGAGCATTTGTGGTTAAATGAAAATGACCAATCGTTACGCTAGATAAGACCCTCATTCCTTGGCTGGGATCATGTAGAGACCTTTAAAACTGCATTTTGGACCTTCAACCCCTTGATGCCCATTGAAGCCCACTATACGGAGAAAAATCCTGGAATGTTTTCCTCAAAAACCTTAATTTCTTTTCGACTGAAGAAAGGAAGACGTGAACATCATGGATGACATAGGGATGAGTAAATTACCAGGCATCTTTCAATCAAGTATCTTTTTATTGGTAAACACGACAAATCTGAGTGAACAACTTGTGAAATCTGTGTAAAGAAATTTCACCCTCGTGCAAAATTCCTGATTGTGTAAATTCCTGTTGAAACGACTGGATTTCATGTGACTGCAACTTAGCAGCCAGTTTCTTGATGGATTTAAAAGTACATTATAGTGACCAGATAGTGAGTATTTAGTGACAAGATAAAGCATTCACTTGTCCACCAAATATGCATACACCACATAATAATCAGGCTTTAATGACGAAAATGGACCGTCTAGAGCAGGGTTCCTCAATTAGTTTTCGCCGAGGGCCGAATTCTGCCAACAATACCAAGCCAAGGGCCACTGACCTATATACTGTATATATATATACGTATATATATATATTCAGATTTTTCCCCCCAGAAGTCTGTTTTATTCAAACAAATATGAAAATTTTTGCATTTAGATACAGAAGAACTTTGCCTGTTGAATATTAAAAACAAATGAACAAACAAAAAATCTGGATCTCCATGTCTGCTTTGCAAATCAACTGTTCCTGTTCCTGCTCATTCCCAGACTGGATCTCTTCTCTTTCCCTAATTGCAGATTCAATTATTAGATTTGTCAGTATTCATATTTTTATGCTTAAGATTTTTTTGGGGGTCCCAACCAGACACGACGCGATAAAAAGTATCTTTTCCTTGTAGTTTTTGTCCTAACCTCCCGCAACAGCGACACGTGACAATAAGCGACATGAGATTCTATTTTAGGAACGGTTTTTATTTTCTGCAATGTCGCGGCAGGAACAACATACAAAATATGACAGTGATAATCTCAGGTAATGATTATGTGCTTTATTCAATGTTAAAAGTGTCTAATGTGAGTTTGAATATTATTTTGCGTTATCTTTATAGCCATAGTGAAAGCAACAATAGATACCTCAGATCTTGAAAATAAATTAAAGCAAACTTGTACGTTAAAACTGTGAACTCACTGTGAACCAACACGTGTATTCCATAACAAAGATATCAGTCACTCACTCACTCAAAACTCTTCAGTCCATTCACATTTGAAGCATCTATTTTCCGTGTCCAGTTTCCTTTTCTACACACTCTCCATGTTTTTGCTGTCACATTGTATCTACACTGGACGCGACAAAGCATTGCAAATCATTTGAACGTTGTGTCAGTACGTTATAAATAGAACGAGTCAGCAGTTTACTGTTGGGGATTTGTCGTGTCGCACCGCATCCAAGACAGCATCACTGATTATAACGAGTTCTTGTGTTTTATATCGAGTCCAGTGTAGACACGATGTAAGTTAATGTAGCTTTCTGATGCTGCGTTTGGATTTTCATACCACATTATTTGAAATTAGCGCGGGCCAAACTTTTTTCTCTCACGGGCCGGATGTGGCCCGCGGGCCGCCTATTGAGGAACCCTGGTCTAGAGGGTCAAAACTGCGATTGCAGTTAATCCCCACTTTAAGAATCACACATTAGAACGTGAGCGGTACAGCAGTGTCGACGAGCAGCCAGTATAAGAGTTAAGCTAAGTGCACTTTAAAAGCCAGGATGAGTGTAACGTGATCAGCACTATTTTCTGCTGAGAGGATGAAAGGAAGGGCGGACATTCTTCACTAACCTGTTGCGATCCCATCAAAAAGTGACAGGACGCGAATGGCTTTTCTGTTCTCTGCCAAAACCGGAGGGTAGAGCCTTGGTGGTTCCTGAAAGAGAAGAAGGGAGGAGTAAAAAAAGGAGGGTGGACGAGAGACAGACAAGACGAACAGAGAGAGAGAGGCCTTTAAAGCACACTGCTCTGGTAATGAAAGAGCACCTGTCTGTACATACTGTCTGCAACTAACAAAGAGGCCTTTACGTTAAACCAGTCCAGTAACAAGGGGTTATTGTTGAGCGCCTGTACAATAAACGTAGTATCACAGGCCAGTTTCATTAACCATTTTCTTGTGATTAAGTGTGGCTGCTTATCTGTGGTCTTTGTTAAATGTCTTAGTATTCAATAACGCTAACAATAGCAAACGCTCTCTAACCTCTACTGTAATCCATTTAAAGAGTGGAGTGTGTAAGCTAAAATTCTATGATGTTAAGAAGTGTACTCAATGCACAAAGCACAGTGACTTTAACACTTTCTGGCTGCTCTTCAGCACACTGGCCGTCAGCCAAGCTGCTCTTTCACATGGTCTGGAAAGCAAATGGTTTAGGAGTCATATAATTACATAATAAAACTCTCAAACCATTCACATTTGCACTGTAAACCACACCAGTTTTGATTAAAATGCTCACAGCTGTTCAAACAATGCAGTATTTATGGCTGTGAAATGGAAATAAGAAAACAAAATACATATTAATTAGGGTTGGTAATCTTTAGACATATTGCGGCGCTTCAAAATGATTTCACAATGTGATTCCAAAATGATCTCTATGGTTACTGTTAAAAGTTTCCACAACTTTTCCATTACTTTCCATTTCAGTCAGTCCTGATTACTGGATAGAACTTTTTATAGAGATTGCACTCAAAGAGTAATTTATTGCCACTGTCATTTCTAGAGCTGAATATGAACATAAAAATGTATATTTACTTCATATTTCCATGACTTTTCCAGGCCTGGGAATTACAAATTGAACATTTCCTGATATTGCCAGACTTTCCATGAGAATTCTGACTGTTGTTCACTCAGACAAGCTTCAGAATGTCCCACAGGAAGGAAGTGAAGATTTGAACAGTGTATTTTAGACTAAATTGCTTATGAAGCTGTAAAAATTAATTGTACAAAAATTTGGGGTCTGTACAATTTTTTTTTTTTTTTAGGAAACTAATACTTCTATTCAGCAATAATGCATTAAATGAATCAAAAGTGACATTGAAGACATCTATAATGTTACAAAAGATTTCTAGTAACAACTGTTTTCAACATTGATAATAATAAATGTTTCTTGAACACCAAATCAACATTTTAGATTGATTTCTGATGGATCATGTGGCACTGATGTCTGGAGTAATGATGCTGAAAATCCAGCTTTGCCTTTAGAGGAATAAATTACATTTGAAAATATATTAAAACAGAAAACAGTTATTTTAAAATGTAATCATATTTCACAATATTACAGTTTTTCTATGTATTTTTGATTAAGTAAATGCAGCTTTGGTGAGCGTAAGAGACTTCTTTTAAAAACATACAATACATTTTATTAACCCAAAACTTTTGAATGGTAATGTATATTATTCATACACAGGCTGGAATCAAGTGTGACATTGGAAAACGACTTTTTTTGTCTTTAAAGAATCATTCAGTTGCACATTATGTGATTAAAAATGATGTAGATTCAAGGCTAATGCTTAACACAGTGAACCGGAGAGCTTGTCTGATAATATAATGGAGAGTAACAGTTGCTAAGGTAGGATTGGTCAGTGGTGATTAAGGTGGGGCTTTTTAAGGTGCCACTTACAAAGTCCTGGTCGTGATTGTTGGCAAAGAAGTGCTGTAGTCTGCAAGGCCAATCCGCTCTGCGCTCCAGCAGGCCATATTGAGCCTTCGGCCCACACATATAGCAGTTCCACGGATCTTCTTTAATAGCTGCCTGCGCCGCGCCGGGCCCCACCAACAGATCCACACACTCCACACAGAAACACCTGCAGGGGAACAAAGATATAATGGAGGAATCAATGCAGGATTGAGGTAGAAAATGGAAATAATACACCATAGCTCACTGCCGACAGTCTGTCTCACCTGCAACAGTTATTGTTTCCGCACATGAGCACTTCTCTCCCTCCACAGCAGATAGTACAATATGACTGGTAGCCATCGTCATCGTATTGATACGCACATTCTAGGAAGCAGTTCTATAAAAGGACAAACACTTTGAATATTAATTCATTCGTATCAAGGAATACTGGGCATATGTGGTTGACAAATGAAAAACACTTGCCATTATAAAAGCGTTCAAGATTAGAGGAGCAAGTTTGGTGGTAGTTTAGCATTTATATTTGATTGTTTCATTTTTTAAAACATAAATATATACAATATATTAGCAAGCAGGGTAATGTCAATCCATTATAATATTTAATCTCACTTAATTTCTAGTGCTGTCAAACGATTAATCGCATCCAAAATAAAAGTTTTTGCTTACATAATATATAATTTTAATTTAATAATAATTTATGCATTTAGCAGACGCTTTTATCCAAAGCGACTTACAGTGCATTCAGGCTATACATTTTTTACCAGTATGTGTGTTCCCTGGGAATTGAACCCATGACCTTTTGCACTGCTAACACAATGCTAAATATAAATACACACACATGCATGTATACATTTAAGAAAAATATGCAACGTTTATATATTAAATATATTTATATATGATATAAATTATATGAATATAATTATATACATGTAAACACATGTAATTATTTTCCAAAATATTTGCTTTATGTGTGTGTATTAATATATACATAATAAGTATACACAATACACACACATTGTGTAAACAAAAACGTTTATTTTGGATGCGATAAATCGTTTGACAGCACTATTAATTTCATAATTAAATGCTATGGATGGCGCAATATGAATTCTGTCCAGTATTAAAATGATAAACGTTAAATGGTTGATATTAAAAACTATTCACTAAATAAATAAAACAAATAAATTGTTTCATCAAATGTCAATTTAAGCCCTTTTCCACTGCAGGAACTTTCCCCAGGAACTAGGGACTTTGGGCCGGTACTCGGTGTGTTTCCACCGCAGGAACCAGGATCTAAATAAAGTTCCGTGTAAAAATGTGCCCCTCAGAAAGTCCCTGCGAGGTAGTAATTTTTCCAAAGGTTCGGAACTTTCGGAGGCGGGACTTGGGCGCTGAACATGCTGATTGGTTGAGTTCACGCAGCATTGTATTTCAACCACCATATATTCGCATCATTTTTTTAATATTATTGTTTCAGTGGAAAATCAGCTTTAGTAATCGCAACATTATAATGTACAGTATGAGAAATAAAAATAAATAAAAAATGAAAGTCCACAATTAAGCATACACTATATGATAAATTATTTTAAAAATAAATAAAAATATCACTTGATATTTGATATGCTTCCAATATACTTAGCATCCATACTTAATGCAATTAGTTCCAGTAAAACTATTTATTTCAATATAATTACATTAACTTTGAGAGCAAGATATGTAGAATATATATTTAAAGATGGCATTACAATTATCACACTCTAACTTTAGCATAACTTACAGCCAACATCTTTTTGATTCATGTACAGCATACAGTATGTAACATTTGTTTTCAAGTCACAGACAAAAAAAATCTGCCAATAATGTGAATGGACATGATAAAATTACAATCAGGCAAATAAAGCAGCCCTCAAGGAAGTAGGAAGCAGGAATTTCCTGGCGTTTACCTTACAGCTTTGGCACATTCCTCCAATGAAGAGTGGGTGCTCCAGGGAAACATTAAGGCTGCCACAGGAGATGCAGATGTCTGGAAGTGTTCAAAGTGAGAGAGAGATTTTAGCAGAGGCTCTAACACTGACAGAGAGCCCGTTATGAAACACATCTCAATCTGTATGTGTAACACATACCTTCAATGTTTCTACATTTCTGACGAACTTCGTATACAAGCCTCTCTGAAAAACATCATTTATAAATGTTACATTTAAAAACTGGAAAACCTCCCAGTGTTTCACACATTTGGCCTAATTCAACTTGACATCTTGTTGAATGGAAATTTCAGTGGTTTGCATTTACATCACCTCGACAATTAAATTATTTAATAGTCAAAACACTGCCATAGAATAGCATGCCATAATTTTTATTAACTGATATAATGCTGCTAATTGTAGTGGTACTACATATTAAATATATTACATGTCAGAAATAATTGATGATGGACAGCTGAATAATTGAAAATCTTCAGTGATGAACTGGATTAAAAATTAATGCAAGGTTTGGAGTCAATTATTCCAGTTGCCACATTGACAATTGTACATACTAGTTCATCATACTAGTTGACATTAGTTCAAAAGTGTCACCAAAACAGCAGTTATTAGATTTGCTTCTTTGTCATTTTTTTTGGATGTTTTGCAGTGGTATAGTGAAACATTAAATTCAAATAAATGTATCTAAATTTTAATTTGCATAATGCCTTTTGCAATACACATTGTACCAAAGCAGCAACAGTGCTGTAGTTAAAAAAAGAATACACTACCGTTTACAGATTTCTTTTTTATTTTAAAGAAAAGAATACTTTTAAAAGTGACAGTAAAGACATTTATAATCTTACAAAAAAATGTTTTTCTTTTGAACTTTCTATTTATCAAAGAATCCCCCCAAAAAAAAAACCTATCACGCATTCCAAGAAGCACAACTGATGTTTCTTCAATTCAGCTTTACAATCACAGAAATAAATTACATTTTAAAATATATTTAAATAGAAAACAGCTCATTTAAATTGTAACAGTATTTCACAATATTACTCTTTTTGAACAGTACAAACTATTGAACGGTAGTGCATGTTATATTATGTATACTATAATTTAAATACTTTTAATGAGATTTTTATTGCACCACTTTTTAATTGTTTTCATTCAATATTAAGCAGGTGTTATAACTAAGGTGGAATATAAAGCCATTTGTAACTACCAAAAGTGTTGCAAGTGAAGTGCAACTCTTGGCTCTACATGTAACCCACAAAGGAGATGGTGCAAGACTGCTCCAGTTTTCCCCTGTTTGAGTGTTTAATAAAGCTCCCTGCTGATTTAACAGCTTGTCTCTTTATTACTACGGTTAGGTTTTCCTGCCCTAAAACATGGGAAGTAATTTTGAAATCTTTAGCATGTATTATAACAACTGAACAACACGTAGGTGAAAGTGCCATTTTAAAGCTATGTTTGAACATGTGCCACAATTCAATACAAAACACGTATCTTTAAACTTGTAGGATTAGACGAGACCCCTGACATAGTTCCAGACACACCCTCTTGTGTTTACTCTGCCGGCTGAGTAGATGAGAGCACTAATCCTGATTTAGCATGTGCAGGTGTGTTTACGAGCGAGAACTCTTTGAACTCGCTGACCTGGTTCAGTGAGAGTATCCGCTCACCTCGAGTCCGCTCGTCGATGATGTCTTTGACCTTGGGTTTCTCTGTGGCTGTGCTCTTGCGGGGCTTTTTTGCTGGTGGGGGCGTGTAGGCCGCCGCCTCTGGCTCTACCCACATCTCTGGATATACTTCCTTGCAGGGGTTACGTTCCTCTGAAAAAGGCACAATGGTACATATAGCTATTGGTTAATGGATAATGCGGTGTGTCTATGTAAACGTCCGGCAGTCAGGATCGTTTTGATTTAACCAGTAACAGAGCTTAATTCCTGGCAGGCTGGCATGTGTACAAGCTTAATGGAGCAACATCTAGTAAGATCTTAAAAGACCAAATTCTCCAAAATCTCTGAACCGAGGAACTGTCCATCAGAAATCTCACCGGTTTGCAGATTTCTGGTTAACAACAACAAAAAACTGAATTTAAACCTTTACCTTAAAGTCAGCATGAACTCACTAGCATGGAGAAACTTGGAAATAACGGAAAGAAATTACCCAAAAATGAAAAGTGATTACCAAAACGTGAAATTTTGAAGAATCTGCATGCATATCTTTTCCATACAATGACAGTTCATTAAAAGAAAAGGATAATTAACATGGTCCTTATGACTTGTTCGCTATATTCCAAATCGTCTTGAGCCACATGAGCTTTGTGGGAAAACCAGACAGAAATGTAATTCATTAATCACTGAAACCTTGCCCTCCAATGAGCTGTCGACACAAGAATTGGTGCAACCCATACAATTGAGTCATGGAGTTGTGAACAAATGTGACCCTGGACCACAAACCCAGTCTTAAAGGCACAATATGTACGTTTTTTTATTAAAATATCCAAAAACCACTAGAACAGTGTTATATATTTTGCTGACTTGTGTACTTACATTATCCCAAATGTTTCGAAGAATGTTTAAATCCAGAGAAATAAGCAATTTTAACTAGTGACACGGAGCATGTCCATAGTGTCATTGTGTCGCCTGCCAATGACGTCAGAACCCCTCGATTTCCGGTTTTGTTTTGTAGAAAACATGGAAACACCAAAGACGCTTTAATATGTTGTGCGTTTTATTAGACCAGTGACGACCGAACAGAGTAGCATTATAACAGAACTTTCAAATGTAGCTAGTATGATAAAACAGCGCTGCTTTTTCCCCCCCACATACACACGACCTTGTTTCGCTTCGACGGCTTTCAGCCTCACTCTGCTTCATTCTACTACGTTAATAAATCATTAGCTCATCCATCGGATTACATCGGCTGGGGGGATGAAGAGGACAACTCTCATGATTCCACACTCAGTCACGGCGTCATCGAACTACGCCTTTGTCTATTTGTTTATTTTGAATATGCGCCCTCTAGCGGCGAAAATTACATATTGTGCCTTTACGTCGATTGGGTATATTTGTAGCAATAGCCAAAAAAACATTGTATGGGTCAAAAAAAATTTATTTTTCTTTTATGCCAAAAATCATTAGGATATTAAGTAAAGATCATGTTTCATGAAGATATTTTGTATATTTCTTACCGTAAATATATTAAAACTTAATTTTTGATTAGTAATATGCATTGCGAAGAACTTCATTTGGAAAACTTTAAAGGCGATTTTCTCAATATTTCGATTTTTTGCAGCCTCAGATTCCAGATTTTCAAATAGTTGTATCTCGGCCAAATATTGTCCTATCCTACCAAAGCTTATTTATTCAGCTTTCAGATGATGTATAAATCTCAATTTCGAAAAATTGACCCTTATGACCAGGGTCACAAATCAACTCAATTTGTGAACCCTATCAACTGGTTCATGGAGGAGAACTTGAACTAAAATGAACAATTCATTCACTGATCCAGTTCTCAATTTCAACTGGCCTGAATCAGTGATTCGGTCACAGTAGTTTTTAAGTTAACAACTCACTAGAGGGGAGGTTATAATGGATTAAATTTTATTCTGATTCTCACACAAAGCTATATTAATGAATTCAGAAGATGCATCATATGAATCATATGGACCACTTTTATGGTGCTTTTTGTGTTTTTTTTTTTTGTTCTTAAAGGGTTAGTTCACCCAAAAATGAAAATTGTGTCATTAATTACTCACCCTCTTGTTGTTCCAAACCCGTAAGACCTTCGTTCATCTCGGGAACACAAATTAAGATACTTTTATGAAATCCGAGAGCTTTCTAACCCTCCATAGTTAGCAACTGTACTACTACGTTCAAGGCCCAGAAAAGTATTAAGGACATCGTTAAAAATAGTCCATGTGACATCAGTGGTTCATCCTTAATTAGAATACATTTTGTGTGCAAAATAAAATAAAATAATAACTTTATTCAACATTTTTTTCTCTTCCATGTCAGTCTTCGACACGCATTCACAAGAGTACCATGCATGCGTGTGGTGCTGCTGATGCAGGAGCCGGCGTTCTGACGTAGCTTCATAACATTAAGCTTGAAACGTTGATGTCACATGGACTATTTTAACGATGTCCTTACTACCTTGGAACAACATGAGGGTAATTAATGAAAGAGTAATTAATCACAGAATTTTAATTTCTGGGTGAACTAACCCTTTAACAAATTAAGTCACTATAGACTGTCATTCTAACAGAGTTGCATGAAAAGCCCACAAGTTTGTGTGCCACTGAAAAAATAGCAGCACATGAAATTGAGTAAATGACAGAATATTAATTTCTGGGTGAACTATCCCTTTCAACAAGCTTGACATTTTCCTTAGCCAAGCAAGAAGATATCAATATGAAACAACAGCAGTCTTACCTTCAGGCGGCTCTAGACCTTTAGGTCCTGTGGGTTGAAATCCTGTCATGGCCCATTTAATCATCTGTTTGTTTTGCATGTCTACTGACTTAGAAGTGTCAGTGTCGTCACTCTCCGGGCATATGAGGATGGTTTTGCCTGCTCTAGTGCTGGCTACCTGCAAAGCACGCCATTCAAACATTTTCTTTAGAGAGATTTTTGCTTGGAATATAACAATAAACTAGAGAAGATCTGATTTGTTCAATCCTCGATTTGTGCCACAAACAAATTCCTACCTGTAGCACTTCAAAGATGGCTTTCTTGTACATTGGTTGTTTATTGTAGGTTGGCTGGTGAAAGGCTTTGTGGAAGGAACTTAAAGGCAACAGTTTCTCAACACAGACCTACCGGGAAAAAAATGAAACAAAACATTTAGAGGGATGTTCCGGGTTACAATACAACCTCTATCGACAACAATGGTAGCATGCTGTTGAGTACCAGAGAAAATTATGACTTGTCCCTTACTGTCAACAAATTCTGTCACAAAAGCTTAAGGGATAGTTCACCCAAAAACGAAAATGTTGTCATTATTTACTCACCCTTATGTTGTTTCAAACCTGTATGAATTTCTTTCTTCTGCTGAATACAAAAGAAGATATTTTCAATCAAATAGCTGCTTGTAGCCATTGACTTCTAAAGTATTTTTTTCCTACTGTGGAATGTAATAGCTACCAGCAACTGTTTGGCTACCAACATTCTTTAAAATATCTTCCTTTTTGTTGAACAGCGGAAGGAAACTCATACAGGTTTGGAACAACTTGAAGGTAAGTAAATGATGACATAATTTTCATGTTTGGTTGAACTATCCCTTTAAATTGCATTGTTTCCTGAAAATTAAAGTTATTAATTTAAGATTTAACTTGTTTTACACCATGTGCTGTAAGAGTGAATACAAACTCACCACAGAAAACTTGCCGTCACCGAACCACTTGACCCATCTAGTGCCTTCAGCCGCCCGGCTGCGTCCAGTCATTAACCAGGTTACAATCTGGCCGGGCCACCAGGAGAATCCTCGTAACTTTCCCCACACAAGCTCACCAATGCTGAAACCTCGGCCATCCTGCAATATACAAACACATGACGGATCAACTTTAGATTTCAATCACTTTACATAAATACAAAAAATAACCAGTTTTTTAAATTATCCTTAATTCTTTTTACTGTCTTGACTTTCAGCCTGTATGGTAACTCTGTGGAGATTGCTATAAATGGAAGGTTTTCCTACACAAATTTTGCAGTGGTTTCGAGTTGGTCACATAGATTCGCCGAGATGACCAACAGCAAGCTACTTGGTTTGAAAGTGTCTTCTATGTGAGCTGTGCTTCATTGGTATACTTCTGACAATAGACAGTGGACCTATTTTGCCCACATAATTTTACAGAAGCTTCACTAACTACTGCACCTTAAAGGTATAGTTCAGGGGTAGGCAAGTTCGGTCCTAGAGAGCCGCAGTCCTGCAGAGTTCAGCTCCAACCCTGAAAACAAAACTCACCTGCCTATAGCCTTAGTAATCCTGAAGACATTGATTAGCTTGTTCAGGTGTGTTTGATCAGGGTTGGAGCTGAACTCTGCAGGACTGCGGATCTCTAGGACCGAACTTGCCTACCCCTGGTATAGTTCACCCAAAAATGTGAATTCTATCATTAATTACTCACCCTCATGTCGTTCCAAACCCGTAAGACCATCATTCATCTTCTGAACATAAATTAAGATATTTTTGATGAAATCCGAGAGCTTTCTGACCCTGCATAGACAGCAAGGGAACTGACACGTTCAAGGCCCAGAAAGGTATTAAGGACATTGTTAAAATAGTCCATGTGACATCAGTGTTTGGTTCAACCTTAATTTTATGAAGCTACGAGAATACTTTTTGTGTGCAAAGAAAACAAAAATAACAGCTTTATTCAACAATTTCTTCTTATCCCTGTCAGTTTTTGACGCGTGTTCACGAGAGTACCACGATGCATGCATGTGGTGTTGCTGACACAGGAGCCGGCGTTGTAGAATCCTGTAGAATGTAGAATCCTGATGCGCTGCACCTTGTTTGCAAGCAAAGGAATGCACATGCATGTGTCGTGGTACTCTCATGAACGCACATCGAAGTCTGACACGGAAGAGAGGAATTGTTGAATAAAGTTTTTTTTTTTTCTTTGCAAACAAAAAGTATTCTCGTAGCTTCATAACCACTGATGTCACATGGACTATTTTAACGATGTCCTTACCACCTTTTTGGGCCTTGAACGTGTCAGTTCCCTTGCTGTCTATGGAGGGTCAGAAAGCTCTCGGATGTCATCAAAAATATCTTAATTTGTGTTCCGAAGATGAAAGAAGGTCTTACGGGTTTGGAACAAGGGTGAGTAATTAATGACAGAATTTTCATTTTTGGGTGAACTATCACTTTAAGGCAAAGAGCTGTACGACATTAGTTTTAGTATAGTTTCAAATTACTCCCAGATTTCATATGAAACAAACCCTACAGCAGAAGACAGGCCCCACTGTTTAAACCTGGATTTCGAATCTGGTTAGCCGGATAACTTACCGGATAACATTGCATAATCCTGGGATTTCTCTGAGAATAATTATCCTATCAGCAAGCAGGTGTCAAATGTTGGAAATTTTACTTTGATAACAAAAGTAAATTTGAAAAAGGGAAAATCCCACATTTATCCCAAAATGTATCCTGCTAACCAAATAAGCCACAACTGCAGAACCAACCACCCAAACTACAGAATGTAAGTACACAATATTTCTAAATTATCAACCCCAAGTCACCAAGATCTCAAGAAAGTTACTCGTACCTCATACTCCGACTCTGTGTCAGTGGACTTGGGTGAGGTCTTGTCTCCGTCCCCTATAGACACGGGCTCTGGGGTGGTGGCAACAGTTGGAGAGGCTGGGTCCGTAGGCTGCTGTTGCTGTTGGAATGGTGGAGGTTGTTGCTGGGGAGAAGGCTGGGATTTGAGGTTGGTCTGAGGTTGAGCTTGAGGCTGTGGCGGTTGCTGCTGTGTTGGTGGCGTCGGTGGAGGAAAGAGTAGTGGGACGGTGATTATGGAGCTGTCTTTTTGAGGCTCCGACTCTACCTCGCCATGGTCCTCCATTGAGTTCATCACAGACACCAGTTTTGCCTTCTTCTCTGCCTGCAACGTAGGGAACAGCGGGACAGGAAGAGGAGGAGGTAAAGCACATGGAACAGCAGTGGCTTTCCTGAGAATAGCACAGTTCAGCGCTTGAGTAATGGTGACTACTCGTTTGTTTATAGCACTTTAATCCCACGTGCCAACACAAATATCCCCATCCTTTTGATAAAGCACAAGTGCCGCCCCTTTGAGTGTGATAAGTGGCAGAAACTTGTGAAAACAGTCCCCTTTTCATTGCGGTGAAAGCTGTGTGCGATCACTTCGTAACAATGAGAGCTCCCCCTGTGGCTGAGATGGATGCGCGCTGGAGAGTTCAGCGAGTTTGTCCAACCTGACTCTAAGCTATTAGGTCAAAAACAGAGGACACGAGCCAAGCCATGACTTAAGCAGCTCACAGCAAATCCCTAACAGCTGCACCTCTCTCGTCCTCTCGTTCTCGCTCACTCGCACGTGAATCTCTTTCACAGCTGTACTTTCTCTGCTGCTGGGGTCCATCTCCGTCTCCAATTTCACTCACACACACGTGAACCTGGCACACAGTGTGTGTGTGTGTGTGTGTGTACGGAGAAAATGGTTGGATCCAACCCCAGAAAGTTCTCCTTATGTCTCTCTTTAGCTCACTCACTCCATTATAGTGGCTATACATTCATATAAGCCAGCAAAGGGGGGAGAGAAGCTCTGGAGCCAAGAGCTCATGAGTGTGCATGAATAGACAGGATGAGTGTGGAGTAGAAACATGTGGCCTCAAATCAAGAAGCCCCTCTGTAGTTTATAAATATCTGTATAGCTTCACTGGCTGTTTCGATGAGCTGGGCCATATGTGCCAGGCTGTTTGTCTTTGACAGCGGTTGACTGTGGAAAGTGTATGCAAATGGTTTTGTGCATATGTGCATCTATTTATCTCTGCAGTACTAGGCGGTGTGATGGTATACACCAGTAGTTCTCAACTGAGCCTAAATAAACATCCAAAGGGAGCTGCATAATGTCTAATTTTTAAATATGTATAGTGTCTTTTGTAATCCATGTCATTTCAAAACCAACAAGCAAAGCATGTTTTGTAACTTAGCAATATTTCTCAGGTTGAAGAATACTGTTCTAAAAACTCTGGAAATGTGGTTTTCAAAGGACAAATTGCAATCAAGTGTAACACTCAGGTCCTTAAGTGTATAAGATGATACAACAATTCATTTATCTAGGCACAAATTGCATTTGAGCAGCAATATTTCAATGAATATAAGCTGTTTGTCAGAATTTAACAGAAGGAAATTGCTGTCAACTGTACCACCTCTTCAATGTGCTTAATTCAACTTGGAAAACTGGGGTATGTGGTATAGAGGAAATATAAAGCTGCATCATTAACATAACAATGAAAGCTAATTCCAAGTTTCCTGATGTTTTCACTAGAATGTTTTATTTGTCTTATTAATAAAAATACCTGATTCAACTCATCAGCTCATTAGTGTGTTAAATAGGGAGACATCTAAACATTCTGGGACCAGGAAAACTACAGAGGACATAATACAGAGCCTTGGGGGACTCCATATTGTACTTAATTAGATATTCATTAGATTAAAGTAGTAGCAACCAAAGTGGCAACAGCTTTTAAAAAGTAAAACTTTGTCTGACCAAAGTGTTTTTTTTTGTTTTTTTTTTACAAAGTTACAAAAAATATCTGTAACAAATTCAGCATCAGCATTCAGCATTTTTTCTTTGTAAAATATTAATTTTTTGTTTCATTTAAAGAAACAATGTTCTAAAGTTTAAAATCATTACGTACTATTAATAATTTGCATGTATTTTTGTCTTAATTTCAGCGGATTTACAAGAGGAATTATCACAGCCTGCGCAGAGACTCCTTTGAATATTGAATTTGACAATGGGGGAGTCACAAAAGTTGAGACCCACTGTTACATACAATGCAATGTTAGTAAGACTGAGACGTTGCTACACCGTTTATACCATATCAGATATATTTATGTGAAAAATAGTTTAACACTGTTTTCATTCACTTGTTATGATTTTTTTGTAATTAATGCAATACTTTTCACAACAGAAGTATTTAAAGTCTGTGTAAAGCGATATTAAAATATGTGTTCTGACTTTGTCACACAACAGAAAAATGTGTTATTAACCCCCCAGCTAAATTTGAATGATAAAAAAACCGCCAAGTAAATAAAATAAGTTATAAAAATCTTGGAAAAATAAGCAGGACTCTGCTCTCAAACGCTGGGGGCGTGTCCGCTGTCACCTGACGGCACTGAAACCACACCCACTCGCGGGAAAGCAGCCATCTCTCTCAACTGTCAAATACCGCTACAACCTGAATGGATGCTACTGATGCTACCTCTAGTAGCTTAATTGGATTTATACATCCATACATGTTTGAGCCTCCAGAGCCAGAATCCAATTCAGCTACCCGAGAATCAGCTTCATTCCACTGCAACAGAATGTTTTTATTTTTTTTCTGACGCCAATACGCAGTAGTTATTATAGTGTTAGGGGCGGTGATAGTGTTTCCATTGTGTCATCGAGCCACCGTTTTAGCCCCGCCCAAAAAATCCTGAACACAGAATTGGTGAAAAACTGTTTAACAGTTTAACTCCACAATTCAGTACTACATTCTTCAGAGTCTTTGTAATATGTTTCTGCAATACATTTCTAACATTTATAATGTGTTTAGAAACAATTCTCAGAATTCTCTTTACACTGACATTTAATACTAGACATCACATCACTGTTATTCAATATATAAAGCATTTTTTGTTGAATTTCTATAAAAAATAACTACATTATGATGTCCGCTGTCACCAAAATGTACAATTACTTATACCATATATAAGATTTTCTGTCATACACCAGTGGCTTGAGTTATCATTAATGTAATCTTAGTCCAATCATTTCAAGCCAAGCATATAAACAGGATTAAATCAGAATATAATTGAAATCTGAAACCCTTATCTAAAGAAAATATTATCTTGAGCTCCCCACGACTAATTCCAACTCACATGCTTGTGGCTCTGTTTGCTCTAAATGTACACAATTTACATTCCACACAAGCCGAACTCACCCTATGTGATTGACGAAGAGTAAAAATTCCTGCTTTTGATATAAAACCCACACATAACTTCTGACTAGCTTGAAAAAAAACCTTAAGTTGTCAAAGCAATCATAGATACTACAGGATTGTCAAAACCGATCATAAATAATGACAGAGGCAGCCAATACTGCAGGCAACTATTGTGTATCAAATTGTACAGTGACAGGGAGAGAAGAATGTTGACTCATGAAGGAGGAAAAGGTTATTTCTACATAAAAATGAAGAAATCAATAGAAAACCGACTCCCCAAAAACTGGTGGAGGAGAGGAAAGCACTGCGGCTATAAGTGGAGATTTGCTTCTGGACGTGTTTTTTTCCCCCCCAGCTGTAAATGCCCCTCTTCGGGGGCCTCACTGTAGCAAGTCTGGCTCTTGAAATTGAGGGAGGGTTTCAGGAGTACAGTACTTTACAGTCTTTAGGGCCTTTCGCACTGCGGGAACCTTTTCATAGTACCAGAACTAACTGTGGAACTACCCACTTTTTGCCGTTTTCGCACCGCTGGAACTGGGTGCTTTTTTAGTACCTGACTGCCTTTTTCGAGAACCAAATTAGCCCCTACTCCGGAGCAGGGTCTAACCAGCACAACTGGTACTACCCGTGACGTAAGTAGACACTGATTGGCCAAACACATACGAAAACGCCCTCACCCACCATGATTTAAAACGCCGTGTAAACATACTGTAAACATTGTGTCAACATATTTCGCAAGTATGGAGAACAGCGATAGATGGACGGACACTGAAGTGCATGCACTTGTATCAAATGTAGCACTGACAGTTGTCGTTGGAGATTCTTAGTCCTCCTTCCCGTTCTTTCAATCGCTTTACGTAGCCTATACGTCGACATTTCATGTCCATTATTGTGAAACCTGCGAGACAACAAAAACACCGCTCCGATTACAGCGTCCTCCATCCTCCTGTTGTTAACGTTGTTCTTTGTTACCGTTGTTGAACGCCGCACACAAATGACGTCACTGTGTGTCGACCGTCTTACGTACACTGTCCGTGCGAATGCAACCCTTTAAATGGTACTGGGAAATAGTTCGCGCACAATCGTCCCAGTACTTTAGTACTGTACATTTAGTTCTGGAACTAAAGCGGTGCGAAAGGCCCTTTTGTCAGCCACAAACACAAGGCCCAGCTCAGGAATAAGAAGATATATAAGCAGTGTCATCCACAACAGAGAGCTTAAAATAACCAGATAACCAGTGTATTTATAAAAGTCCAAAGAAAAAAAATACAACAACAAACAGCAACAAGTACAGCAAGCTGTACTGTTGGAATCAATTTGAATAAATGCTGAATAAATACATTTATAAAGATAAAGATTATTAAAAAGCATGAAAAGTTGAAAGTTACCCATTTATTGGCCTAGTTTGCTACATGGCTGTCCAAAAGATAAAAAGCTAATTTAAAATACTAAAAACACAGATCTTGAGATGTATTTAGAGAAAATGTTTCTGAACCTAGTACTAGTCTTACATTTCTAACTAACAAAGAATATCCTCCAGCCACTGAAGTAATGAAATGTAAATCTCAGCATAAGCACTAAGAAAACTTACTTTTAAGCCACTATGGGACTAAAAATGTGGATGTACTGTAATGGTATCTATAATGCAGTACTTTCACTTAAGCCAAAAATTGCCACATACACTCTTAAAAATAAAGGTGCTTCACGATGCCATAGAAGAACCTTTTTGTCTAAATGGTTCCATAAAGAACCTTTAACATCAGAAGAACCTTTCTGTTTCACAAAAGGTTCTTTGTGGCGAAAGAAGGTTCTTCAGATTACAAAAAGGTAAGAAAGAGATGGGTCTTTAAAGAACCTTTGACTGAATGGTTCTTTGTGGAACCAAAAATGGTTCTTCTATGGCATCGCTTGAAGAACCTTTTGAAGCACCTTTATTTTTAAGAGTGTA